ACCCTATGGGCCTTCATGGCCTGTTACAGGGATAGCTTTACTTAATTTTATTTGGACGTTACAACGAGTAAATTACGTCATGATATCCTGCCGTTGTTCTCAAACGTAAGTATCTTTTCACCTGAGTTTTTTAGCTGACTTCGTTAGACATGGCCGCTTTTCTGCGACGAAGTCAAAATAAATGACAGTTCATTAATGTCAGAACTCCAGATTTCTTGCGTTGCTATAATTAAGAAATGTACATAAAAATCAGTGCATTATATATTTAAGGACATGATGTTATTAATCTACGATAATATTTGAATAATATTTGAAATACGAAAGATTAATGAACTTTGAAGCCCATAAACAAATATTACTGAAGTCACATTGAATATTTTCACATCCGTCGACACAACAGTTTCTTATAAGAATATACAAATGTAGATTATTTGATTAAAATCTTAAAAACGCGACAAGTTTCGACCCTTACTGGGTCATCATCGGTGTACTGTTTGTGTTTAGCTGCTGAACAAGTTTTAACATGGATCCATATTTTGGATGCAACTACATATTTGATATTATGCTTAGTAACAAGGCTCTTGATATTTTCAACAGGATGTCCGTTACAAAGGAAACTATCCATTTTTTCTGAGTATATAACTTTCTCAATAAATTTCAGTGTGTGTTCTCTTGGTAGCACGACAAATATCCAGACGATATTCGACCTCGTTCCACATTGCTTGAAGCATGTTTGGTGCTACCGTAACCACAGCGTCACTTATGCGGACTTTCAGGCGTTAATGGTCGTTGATCTTAACCTGCTAGAAAATGTTCTTCACCTAACCCCACAAGAAAAATCCACTTGGGCTAAATCTGGCGACCTGGGAGGCCAAGCGATTAGTCCAGTTATGCCGATCCATTTCCCAGCCATCTCTGTGTCCAGGTGATTCCTAATATGGTGGCACAAATGTGGCGGGGCATGCGCGTAAGCCGGGCAAAAAAAAAACCATCAGATTTTTCCTTTCCGATGACATAAACCGATACGTGTATGACAATTAGTTTCCCAGTCAATAAATCTTTAATTCTGGATATCTCTCATCCGGACACTGTACTTCTTAGTCCAGTTCTGTTGGAATTAGATATAATGGGTTAAATTTATATATATATATATTTGAAGGTTAAATTATGGTCAAAATTAAGAATAAAATATAATAACATAGTCAATAAGTTCGTGGACTGGCCGCAGAGTATCGTTGCAGTGCACTGCAGCGGACAGGTTGAGGCACGATATGATGCCCTGTCAGTTCATCTCTCGTCACAGCAAGAGACAGTTGTGTGCAAACAGTGTAAGCAGAACTACGGCCTCTATTATGAGCTGCAGTTAAATGCAAGTGGCGGAAATCGAAAATGTGGCAGTTTCAACAAAGGGCAAACATCAAGTTCTGCCAAAAAGTAGGCAAATTCCCTAGCGAAACGTTTGGTGTAGGAAGAATTGGCTGTTCCTACACGACAACGCCCCTGTCCAAGAGGAACTGGCAAGGTAACAGTTCACCGTTTTGCCACACCCTCCGTACGCACCTGATCTCGCACCCTGTGATTTTTTCTCTTTCAACGCTTGAAAGCAAAGCTATGTGGTCGTAGATTTCAGTCGCCCGAGGAGGTCGTCAATGCCACAAGAGACGCCGTAAGGGAATTTCCTGCCAATATGTTTCAGCAATGTTTTCGGCAGCTATATCAACGTTGGCAGACTTGCATAGCAGCCAACGGCAACTATTTTGAGGGCCGATGTGGATCTGTATAAGTGTATGTGAATACCTTGTAATATGATGCAATAAAACCACATTCCACGAACTTAATGACTGTACCACTTAAATGTACGTACCTACTAATTACTTTGCTCGTATACTGGTTGCTCTGGTCTGGCTTGTTCCTGGGTGGGTATGACGTTAAGAACTCTTGTATATTCACGTGTTATCTCCTAATTAACCGGGTTATAAGTTGTATGTAGCGCCACTATCGTCGATACGTTGTTATCGTATGGGTCATTCCCATGTTGATTTGTAGGTGGTCGTTTGGGCCCACACGGGAATTCTCCGGATACCATATGATAACACCGTCTAGAGTCTAGACTATAGTTCCACTACACCCAACTAGCAACCCAATTTAATAAGAGATAACATATGTGAACATACAAGAGTTCATAACATGGCACCCACTTAGGAAGGAACCAGACCAGAGCGGCCAGTATACGAGCGAAATAATTAATAGATATATACATATATTTCAATCTTAATTTTGAAATTAATTTAATTTTATATTATACATGCATTAATTTAACTAATTATATCTAATTCCAACGTAATTGAGCTAAAATGTAGATAATACTAAGAATTTTGTTACTAAGCACAATAGCACACAATTTTCATTTCATTCATCCTGTTGTGTTATTATTAGGGACCGGATTTTTATGCCCTTATAATCCCTTAAATATGTATGCATTTATGCATGAAAAACTTCCGAAATATGCACTAAAATATGCACATAAAACTTTATACCAAATATTAAAATTGACTTTACATTATTTTAAGACCAACAAATCAATATTTAAGTTCATTTTATGTAATCGCTGAATGATTCACTTGCAATAAAAGCTATACTTAAATACAAATCATGCAACAGAGCCAACATATTTCATTACAAATTTAAAAAACC